TACCCATTAAACAAGATGGTCGCCCATTCCTTGCGGTATACAGCAAGGTTATAATGGTCTATTTTTAAGAGAAGATGAACAAACCACCGGAGATGTGACTAGATAATTGAATGAATAAGCAGGCTGTTTGTCTTCTCAACGAGTTTGTTTGCACCAATAAGAGGTGGGTTTCTGTTAGATTCATCCTGAAAAAACGTATGCTAACGTGGAAGAAATTGAAAGTGAGTGTACTGCTATCGGTTGCGTATACATGTGTGACAATGGATGAACATCTTACATGGAAAAAACACATCAGTGATATCTCGAGCAAGATATCAAAATCTGTTGGTATAATGAATCGCTTAAAATTCTTCATTCCAAGCAACATTTTAGTAATGCTTTATAACTCTTTGGTTCTCCCATATTTAAACTCTTCAGTTCTTAACTGGGGTAGTTCCTCGGTAAATTTTGATAAAATGTTGTTGTTACAAAAACGAGCTGTTCGCATCATTTCTAATGCTGGACACCGTGTTCATACCGCCAACTTATTTGCAAAATCTAAAACTGTTACGAATTAAAAGACATCTACTACTTAAATTTAGGTAAATGTATGTATAAGTACATGAATAATGCATTACCTGGTTGTTTTAGCTCATATTTTTCGTTATCATCAAACATATACATTCACACAATACTCGAAGTGCTTCTTGAAAAAAATATCCATGTTTTTTACAGTCGAACGTCCTTGTTTAAAAACAGTCTTATTCAACGTGGTGCAAACTACTGGAACAGTCTTAGTGAATCTATGAAAAAAATCACCATTACATGCTGTATATGTCAAAAAACTAAGAAAACAACTTCTTGATGCATATTTATAAATGTAATGTGTAAAATTATTTCGTATTGTTATGTCTTAGTAACTGCACACTCATTTGCTGTTGTTGTCCTTTGTCCTGTCTGTCCCATTGTCTGTCCCTAGGTTAGGGTACAAAAGCATTTTTGCTTCACCAAAACCTAAATATTGTGTTGTGTAATAATTTGACATTAAACTTAACCTGTATATTGTATTTCAACTTATTGTAAACACTGTACATCCAAGGACAGCATTGAAATAAATGTACTACTACTACATTTCCATTCAATGCAAAATCTGGTGACAGCAAGCTTGGCTATCGCAGAAATCGTAAAGGGTTGGATTATGATTACATTTTCACCTTTTTTTCCAGAAGAATATGACATCCACTGAGCTAAAACTTCTTTCGGACAGTTTCAAGAAATCTTACATTAATTGAGTGTCCTTGGTATTGAGATCGGGACAAACTTTTCTTTGTTTACCTTATAATGTGCAATAGTGAGCACGACCTCGTGGACAAGAGAGACGTGAATGTGTCTCCGATTGTTTTGTGATCAACAAACAGAACATTATCGTCAAGAGCGCCACCATTTGTCATGAAGAGTCCTATCTTCCTCTCCACAGTGCAATGACACCGTTAGGTCTGGACTCACACCAGGCACTTCGGTCTTCGGTCACTCTGCTATCGATTTCGTCACCACGAGAGGAGGAGGTTTTTTTTCCTGTCTTGACGCTGACCAAACTGACAGCGTGTACAAAAGCCCTCTCGAGCCGGTGCCTTGCACTTTCCGGCAGTGACTAGTATTTGCCCCATCCGACAGTTTAATTTTGTGCAGTATGATTTTGAGGTTTTTTCTTCAAAATGACGAGTTTGATAGATAAGACTCTCCTTTTGTTTCAGTTAAAATGGAAGCGGCTCTGAGGCCACACATTTCAAAACTACAGATTAAAATATTTCAATTAGATGTCAAAACGAGGCTCGAAACGAGTAATTTTTGTGACGTTGGAGACCTGTTCATTTTCAATCCTGATCAAGGCGAGCATTGACGCCCTCAGTTTCACTGGTAATTTACAGTTCCTTCTTTCCTTTTCTTTCAAAGGAAATATAATTCTTGGGGAAGAATAACAGGATTTTTGTCTCCTTTTTTTCTAGATTCCATTTTTTAAATAATCAGAATAAAGCTATTGCTAAATTTAGTATATTTTCCGACTGAAATGACCTTTTTTGTAGGGACAGGGGGGGGCTAAAGATGTTTCCCCCCCCCTTACAACACCACAGCACCGCGCCTAATTTGGAGACACTTAATCTAATCACATAAGCCATTAATAAAGATACAGTGCGGAAGGAAGTTTTACACGACTAATTACAGAAACTATTTAGCATTATAATATTTGCTATACATCAGTAAGGTACACAAATTATAGTCAAATAGGCCTATACGTCTTGCCTGGCGCAAATATCCTCCAGAATCATGTAAATTCCAATTTCACAACAAAAAAAATCACAAAGAAAAGGTAATCACTTTCTACACCCTCGTGGCATCAATTAGACAGATTTGTTAGGAAAACTGGTATCATTCTGGTCCAAAAAAAGAAAATCCACTCCTTAAATCCTGTCATCTGAAACAAAATGAGGAAAGGGAAGAAGCAGCAAATTGGAGAGCTTTAGCACCGCGTTTTTAAGTATTGTCAATAAGTATCTCGTTGACACAGGCGCTGGGCCGACCAAAATTACTGTGGCGGGTCGTTTGATCACGATCCGAAGTATCGGTCATTACAACCTGCATCTGGCGTGATTGCAACGCTTGATATTAATACACATTCCATGATCGTAAGCGACGCCAGTACCATATAATGGTCTACGGCCCTATCAGGGTGATATGGCTGCATCTGTATACTGTCATTATATTAGCTTAGTGACAGGGTTGGTCGAGAAGAGGCGGTAACTTTTTTGGGGGGGGGTGATCTGAGTTTTGAGTTATGCATTGATGGCCTGGGTTGGAATAGATGCATGTAAAACTTGTTTATCAATTTGTAATAGTGTGGTCACAGGACGCCGACTTCCTATACACATGGAAAATGGAACTTCTCTGTTGTATACTGTATGTTGACATGGAATATAGGGACGGTTTAAAGTTTTGACATTTTTCCGTACAGTGTGAAAAACATGAAACAGACAGTCATGTATGCTTGCCAGAAATTGACGTCTCATATAGGTGGAATGGTCTACAGGGCATGAGGTTTTAGAGAGAATGATGTCACCAAGTCTTTAGCTTTTTCCCCCACCTCCCCTCCTCCTCCCCAGCCCCACTCAAAGTTGATAAGTTAAGTATTATAAATCCAGCTTGCGAGTGTGTCCTGAAAACCTTGGAGACTATATTTGTTCTGAGGGTGTTTTCGCCTTCCATGGAACCTTTTGCAACGTTGTTAGAGGTACTAAATCCCCCCTCCTCCTTTCTCAAAGTCCTGAGTAAACGGCTGCTCACCTGTAAAAACCAGTATCCCTTTGCCCATACGCGTGGTACCTCTGGCTGTCATCCAGGTCTCGCGAGAGTTGCTTGAAGCACACGTGCTTGGACGAGACTTGGCAGAAGCCTCACTTGGCTGTGACGTCGGCGATGACATCTTCTTGGCCGAGTTTTGACAACTTTCGTTTTTGAGTGGTGATTTTTTTTGTGCACAATGTTGCTGGGTGATTTCACCTTGTATACGAAGTGACGCTGCACTGACTGGCCTTTTCAAAGCGCGTGTATATACCGTGTAGATGTCATTGATTTCTTTGTACAGCGCTTAGCAACCGCTATTCAGTCCGCAACCATGCATGAATATTTCACTAAATACACTTGTACAAAGGCGCGACCTTGCATGTATGTAAACATGGTGTGTCTGATGTGTCTCAGTCAATGCGTTATTTTATTCATAAAGTAACTCCTCACGCAAATCTTCTTCCCAGGACCTGCCCACTTATTTCTCATCTTCCTACGATGTAGCAATCGTACTTTAGTATATAGGACATGAGATTACCTTTCGAAAAACAAGGCCACCTTCTCACTCGGTAGGTGCTTCGTCACAAAACCAAACTCTCTTGAACATAGAAAAAGGTTACTGTACATTTCCCCAAAAAAAATTACTGGCTGTATTTTCACCACTGGATGATCCAGCTGCTGCATACACAAAGCTAAAGCCATCTAGCGCAGTAAAACTGTATTTTTCTTGCCTGTGACAGTTTCGAGTTTTATAGTAAACGCACAGACGCTGCCCGTGTTTTTCATTGTCTCAGCGCAATCTGTATTTGCACAAGTGGGGAAACCTTCGTCAACTAGGGACTAGATTTCCCAACCATAGTCCATCCGATGGTTGCAGATAACCAGATGTATTTTGATGGCCAGGACCGGTGCGCGGGTGGCCCTACTTGAGTGAGAATGCAGGTGCAACAACAGCATGAAGAGGGTTCTGTAAGGAGACCCACTATCACCGGGCCTTTGCTTGACACGGGGGAGTCCTACCGTGATTGACTCGAAATCTCAAGACTCTTCGAGAGGCTGCCATCGTTCACGATGACATTTACACAGCTCTAACGCCCCGTGTAGAAATCCTGACATGATTGTTTTAGGTCAAGATCATCCCTTGATGATTGTTATTGCTCGTCACTACAGTCCAGCCGTCACATCAACGTTGGCTGGGACTTGTCACTGTCTCCGTGAATTGGCTATTGGGTTTCAGATGCGTTCAGTTTTTCAGTGCCGGCAATGGCTGATATTATTCCGCGCATCTCATATCATAACTGAGTATCAAGACTTTATATATGAAATCGACCTAAACACTTATGATCTATTTAACCTTTTTCCCCGTGCAGTCGTGAATATTTTTTTACACACATATGCGCCAGTGGGGAAATGTCAAGGTGAATATATCATATGATATTATATTGTATGTTTGTAATTACTACATCCGTATTAAATATGTCAGTGCTGCGGTGTTGGCAATAAGCCGACAGGCTGTGACGACAGAATTTATTTCCTTCGGCGAGAAACAACCTTTACTCTAAGCATTCATTCATTTTATCTCTCTCCATTTGTTGGAGTTTTAAGTATGCGGGAAAAACAATTTGCAGAACGAATAACAAACAGCAATAATATCATAAGTAGTGCACGGCTTTGCTAAAATTACTGGCAAAGGGTTCAAAAATAGCCAATAAGTCGTATGAACAACGTCATTGATAATTTAAGTTCTTTTATCATAACGACCAAAAAAAACCAGAATCGCACACAAATCTTCTTTGCCTTAATTCGCTTCCATACTGGAAATGCCCTTGTGGTAAAAGGTAAGTGTTCTTTCAGCAAGACGAAAACAATTCACAAAGGGATGTGTGTGAATCGATTTCGTTTTGCCGAAAGAACACTTACTTTTTTGTGATCCGTGGACAGAACTTTAAAACGGTGTTTGTGTTGAAAATTCCCTAACTTGAAAAGTACATGAGTGATTTGAATTATTCTTATACTAAAGAAAGCTTATTGATTGGGCTTTTATATCCTAGATTTTAAAAGTGCTACAGGCAAAACTTCATTCGAAAATTGGTCCTGCCATTTGGGTTTCGGGTTTTTTTTTACTCACCCTGTAGACCGACGTACACTGGTTTATTCCATGTGTTTACATGTTTCCTAAAACTTATACCGGAGAATCACATATTTTGTGTCAGAGAAGTTGCAAGAAACTATTGACAAAATTTTATTATCGAGAAGACAACGAGCAGTCCCTTGAAGATAAAACCATCAAAATACGCCAGCTGCTACGTTATATGACGTTTTATAAGAAAAATCCAATCCAATAAATTCATATTATTGACATATGGCATACGTGTAAAATTTCATTTCGCTATTTTTAGAAGACGAAAAAATATACAAATTTGATGATTTACATTTTGTAGATTGGATTCGAATGGACAAATAAGTGTCAGTTTCATTCCCAAATTTAATAAAGTTGGTATATGACGCCAGTCTTAGCGGGCTGTCTGGTGTCACTTATCATTTTCATTGTAGTCTGCAGCATTTTGAGTGGAACAACCATACATATACTTGTACACGCATCCTGGCAAAAACTTGCAAAAAATATTGGACAGTATTATAAAGTCAGGTGGATCGGGGAACGCTTCAGTCTCTTTTTGTGGTTTGAAATAAATGAGAAATCAACACAGACGTTAGAATTTCATGTTGCATTTTTTTTAATTCACAGACGGATAACGCAGCTAAGGCGTGGTTGATACACTGTGCATGAAAGAGTGAAAATAAGCAAACGAATGACGACTACACTTTAAAGTTAAACAGTTTATATCAACAAAAAATGCTAGGCTGTTCGGATTGGTTTCAAACTATAATAGTCATCTATGATTATCTTTTTTAAAGCCATGATAAGTAGCAGTGGTGTTAAACATTGCTCCTATACTATCCTATAGCATATTGTATTGATACTATACCACGAAATATTATAGTTTGATAGTGCCTCGATTGCCAGAATGCTCATTGTGATTATATAGTTGCGGTTCTACTCCGTATATATTTTCATTATACAATAGATCGATTGCATTCAGCCGCCATCTTAAGGTGTGTTTTGTTATGTTAATTCATTGACACTGAATGCCTAAGAGGTCTACTCATGTGTATCCCTGTTGAACAAAAGCACACACTGCAAAAACTGCAGTGTTAAATTTACACCACTGGTATCTATATAGGACCATCTGGTGTTAAATTGTACTGGTGTTGTCCTATATAGATACCGAATGGTGTTAAATTAACACTACAGTTTTTGCAGTGCACACATCAAAGATGGCTGCAGTGCAAACAGTCTATTGAGCCTAAACACAATGCTACTTGTATATTTAAAGCAAAAAAAATATACTTTTTCTTTTGTCTAATTCAGGTATGTATTTACAAGGTATTTAGGGGTTTCATTTAGCATGGCATCGGACAAGTCCGTGTTTCGTAAAGAAGCTTTTTTTGTGTAACTAGAAATCAAATAAAAACGAAATTGATATAACTATAAAGTTGTCAATCTAAGGGTTACTAACAAAGATGGCGACGTGCTACTCGTTGTGATATTCTTTAAAATGCTTTACACTCATTATTTTCATTATAATTTCACATACTTGCTTGCCACTATTAGTAAGTATTCGTATTTACAGTATATTCTTTTAAAACATAAATCCAATTTTGGAAAATTAATAGCAAACTTTTAAGGCTACAACCTGAATTCAGATATTTACTTGGTAATGGTGATATCAACAGTACAATAATTTTATTTAAAGTAAACTCAAAAATTACAATCTCATAAAGACAACCAAAATAAAAGGTTTTCTATTTGTTCCCATTTCGGTAGACGGTTTGGAGTCGACTTTCAATAGTTGGATCCAAAATTGACAGTACTGTTATCTTTTTTTCAATAAATTACGCTAGGATTTGAACATGCACAGCTATACTGTAGTATGTACAGCGAGTTTCGTCACCAATAATGCCTCAATCAAAATATTGAACGATTGCCTTTTTCTATAATATGAAAGAAACTGTGCCTTTTCCTGCAAATGACAATTAACATTACACGCCCTGGAATGTTTTACCACAAGCAGCGATGGTCAGAATGAGAAGCGGAGTACATGACTGGAAATTATCCCTCGGTGAAGTGACGTACAATGTTCTCCAATCATGTGATCACCAACGAGCTGGGGAAAAGAAGGAGGGGAAATAAGACAACAAATTCGATTACTAGTTCATTATAGCGGCTTAATGAATCTCTCCTTACGGTCTAGTATCGATCCCGTCGACTGTACAGCGAGACAGGGCTGTAGCTTCTGTTCAAAACTTGCACTGGTATCGTCGCAGGTTAACCAGGAAACCCAAAGCGCTGCACTTGGGAATACTTGCGTCCTCCATACTCGAGGAAAATATAAAACAGGAGCAAGATTCTCGCAAGAAGGACGGAAATAACAATCGGCACGAGTCTCTAACTGAGTTACGGGTCTCCTCTCTGCCTCTGATGACGGCAATATCGGTCGCAGGGAACGACGGTCTGAAATAACAGAGCGCGTATCATTGGGAATCAAGCCCGTCCACTGAGCATTATCTCCCCGGGCGTTCCAGGCATGAATCACGGTAGATATAACACCGGGCCACACGGGAGGGAGCGTTGTAAGGACAGATCGCTGTAGAATGGCAACCACCATTCTGTCTTCCAGACAGTTCCAGCTGCAATTATATTTGGCGGATTCCATGTACGTCAATCGCTAATTTCGAATTAAGACAGGGTTACCCTTGTGCCTTTACAATTGATACAGAGGCGCTAACCTAATTAAGCCAGGGACTTTATTGTATTTGGGGCCATGATTTGTTTTGCCAATTAATATTTTTTTGGCTTAGTCGCTCGTTTTTTATCAAACCACCTAGGAATGCCCGAGGAGTACCACGGCCGAGGGTAGTATATCTGAAATTATTTCAGATTTCTTTTTTATTTGATTAGAGAGCAATGAGTAGTTCGTCCTGCATGCGATGCACAAACGAATTACCCAAATCTTTCATATAGGCTTTCAGAATATTTCTACTTTTTCAATCAAAAGGGTTTTTTTATGAAAAGTTAGCTTCCGATGTTTCTGGTTGTTCAACGAGAATCCCCTAAATCTAGGGGATAGCTTTCCTCTTTAAGGTCTAAACTTTTGCCGAGAATGGTTTACCCCCTTCCGTCTGAAAATGTTATTTTTTACATATGTCTGAAAACAAGACGAGGCTTAATCAAGCTGACCCCAGAGTGCAAAAATGTACATTCAATCGGCTCAGAATGGCTATTCGCTGGAAGTCTTTTCATGCATGAGATGTACGCAACGAGACAGATTTAGCCCATGCACTTGTGGTGTTATCCTATTTCAACATGTTCGGGCCAAGTTGAGACTTAAGCAAGTATACTTCACAAGAGACGGCGAGTCCTAGCCAGTCAGTCAGGTAAAAAGAGGACAATGGGCTGGCCGCCCTCTGGGACCAGCAAAAATCAACAATTTCCTTCCCTGATGTAAACAAAATAACGCAGTTACAAATCTCACATAAACGCTTTGGGCCAATGTCCTGTATCAATGGGCCTTATTCACGAGTTGGCCATTTTTGTCGAGTTCCCTGAATTTATTTCATTAACTGTTGAATGGGATGGCGCCAGACTATTTATGCAGGCACAATGCAGCCTTATTTTACTGTCATTTTTTTAATCTGGCTTTAAACATTAGGAAATGATTAATTACAAATTTTACATTATCCATTGAAGCATACTGGAATTAATTAGAAATTAACTTGGTTTCATTAGCTTCCCAAGTTCCAAAAATTAAGATTTCACCTCACTTATAATTCAATATGGCGGACTCGTGAATGAGGCCCATTACATCCCTTCTCCTCTTGAAAAGTCCTGAACTTCAGCACCTCACCTACCCCCTCCTCCACCGACCCCTGCCCTCCCTCCCCAACCACACCCCCCCCCCCCCTTGAAAATCTTATGCCCCTGCCGTTGTAACAACTGACGTTGAGTAAGTCATAAGTATATGCGTGTTATTCTTTCCTCGTCCTAATTACATAGACCGCGTATATCGAGAATAACTGAATTGGCACTTCTTGGTTTAGCATCACCAAATTTTGAAATCAATTTCAGGCGAAGTGGTCGTGGATAGAAATGTGCCGAGTGGATGTTTAATGCATCGCGCATCTTGAACCTGTCTGAGAGTGGGAGCTAATGTATGGTGCTGTAACCAGGTAGGCGAGTGGCGATTCCACAGGGACATGATTTTGCGGTTATAACCCCCCAAAAACAAGACCTTTTATCAAGCCTTAAATTCCGTAATTCCCCAGACTTTTCTCAAAATGTATCCCGCTTTAAAAAAATCCAAAAATATGATCAATCTAGAGCTACAACTGATGTTAGGAAAGCTAAATTTAAAATGGCTAGAAAATAAATGAAATTTTCGGAATTATAATAATACTGCACGAATGTTTGATTCCCAGCGTTTTCAGAAGAGTCGCTATACCTAAGTACCATCTTGGATGTTTTGCTCCTCGTCTCTGATTAAACTGCGTTAGATCTTCGAGCTGAAATCAAACTAACCTTTTCCCTGCTCCAGATGCTTTAGAAGGAAACGCACTCATTCTTCTCGCCGGTCTCCCGCGTAAACGTGAAGGTGATTGAGTTATCGTGCTGGCCGCTGGACACCAGCCTGACCACCGACATCTGGCACATGAGTGGGATGGTGATGCCTGTAATACGAGAGATATTAGAGAGACACCAAATGAGGTTTCCAGGTGCCGAACGTGAAAGTACATTAATGGCACGACATCTGAGATCGTGGCATTATGGGCGAAGTAGAACGACACGCTCGCTAAAACCTCCCCACACAAGGGATGAAATGTAATGCATCGAGTCCCAGAAATAAGAATGTCCCAAAGTTAATTAATATTTACACCAAACATTGGAGGATTCGATGAATTAAACTTCAAAGTGACGTAAGCTCAACCCAGTGTGTACCCATGTTTAACAATCAGTGTGAAGGGTTGAGATTGGTTTATAAGATCCCCTAAAAGTGGCCCAAAGAATTGTTTAAAGCACATTCGGGCTGAAACCGTCAAGACCCCGCCCCTAATTTCCATGGAGCCAATCAGTGCATGTCTATAGGGCTTGGGACCACCAGGGGGTAAAATGGGGAGTCATAAACAAAATATTTAAAAAGCAATTTAAAAAGAAAAACAAAGTGTTTTTCCGTGCCGACACTTTTTCCTGAAAAGGGGAAAATGTCACCATGTGGGCGAAGGTCGTTCCCCCGTCCCGCCTCCTCCCCGTTGGATGAGACACAAAAACAACCAATGTCATTCAACTGTTTTATAAACATCCTGCATGACGCACCTGTTCCTTCGCTGGACAAATGTACCAAGAAAGACAAGGATCCATTCACGACCACTTCGGAAAACAAAATGTCAAAGAAACCAAAGTAAATTTAGACAGGTCCCGACTCCCAAAAGACAAAGGCACTCTCTGGGAAAGTTCAATGAGATCCAGGCTGACGTGGTCCCTTGAGATGATGCCGCGCACCTTATCAACATAATTGTGCGCTGTTGACGTCTTCAAAGGTTTCCACTTGAGAACTCCGATTTGCCTGCGCATATTGCCTGCGCATATTTGATTAACAGATTGGATGAGGCGAGGCAGCCTTGCGTGACACAGCTGCACCCTCAAATTGCAAAATGCAAATTTGACAGCAAAATGGCAACTCCATGACAACGGGGAAATAAAATCGCGACATTAAAAGACCGCGCACGGGCCTCAATCGCCAAGCCCTATGTGGCATGTACCAGCCCCCCCCCCCCCTTACCCCAAGGGCAACGAATTGTCAGCGAATTCTCTTGTTGTTTTCTATAGTCATCATTGAATTAATTTGGGAAGGACACCATCAATGAAGAATTATACAGTGAGCAGGATTGCTGCAATATGATGTGATGATTGCCTATAAATCCCCAGTGGTATTATGATATTACTCTCGCCCCAAGCCACGTTACGGGTTTGACAATCGTGTAGTTTCCTTTACCGGATTGTAAGTTTTGTCTGGATGCCTGAGCCGATGACTGATGAGTAGCAGATCCCCTTAAAGCTCCAGCAAGTTTGAGCACTGGGAACACAAAACCAATTTTCTTTTTGTGTACACACAGGTATACAACGCGGAGGGCCTAAATTAGATCTATACACCGCCAGCGCATTATGTCAGCAAACTTGAGAGCACTCGATTCTCAGGACGTGTCAGTCGGAACATATGCGACACAATTTCCTCAATCAGAAATCCCAAACAAAGCAGATGCATCTCTTCAAATCTCCACCCACGATCTAGTCTACAAATACAATCATCGTAACCGCGTATAAATTATATAGGCCTTGTCTCAGGGTTGCGACCGGACGGAACGGGCAGGTGGAACGGAATCGAATTGGAAGTGCCGCCTTGTTCTATAAATGGGTAAAACGGCGGGTTACGCGGATTAGCTGAATCTGGTAAAAAATTCGCCCATCCGTGACCTTAAACGGGCAGCTGTTTTTATCTGATAAATGTCGCGCACCAGTCAAAATTATCGTATAGGAGGCTGTCATAAGATAGACAGCCTGTTCTGTCTATCTTGTGGATAACATGCGGAATGCTAAACAATGTTAACTTATTAAGTTACGCGGTGATTGACTAAAAATGTTTGTCCTGAGTGACATACGGTGCCCGTGATGTCATTTTGAAATGTTTTTTCCAAGCCTAACCAAACTGGGGCCCGTGTTCATTCGGAAAGGTCAACAAATGTCGGACTAGAATCGTGTTTTTTAAAATTATTATCAGGATTTTTTTTTTCTATTTGCTCCGAAAACTTGGTTCACAACCCTTTCTTCCTGCATATCTATGCATCCGAGACACTGATAGAAAAAAAGGCAGCCATAAGCATCGGTTGCTTTACGAAGATTTTTGCTTTTGTCGTCGTCTTAAAGTGGAAACTTTGACATAGCCATCGCACGACTCGCGTAAAAAAGTTATTCACCAAAAACAAACTTGTTGGAATTATGTTAAACGCTTATCGATCTGAGACTGCCTAGTAAGTCATGTCGCGAAAATAAAATCAACTTGCTTCACGACTGCCGTATTAGGGCTGAAACTTTGTAGTCTGCACCATAAACACTTAAATTCTCAATTTAAACTTTAGATGAAAAAAATGTCCACGCATTGGAAGTTTTGTTAACGTCGTGTTGCTTCCCTTTCAGTATTGTACTGGTTCTACTCTGGTCACCGTTCACAGGAACTGAAATCTATCATGACCAAATCTCACACACATCATCGTTCTATACGAGATCTGCCACCAATGCTCATAATTCTGTCTCGCACTGTATCCCACTCATATCCTTCATTGTCCGCACATCCAAATTGTGGAACTCTCTACCACAATCATGCTACCCACCACCCTACAACCCACAGTCTTCCAAGAGCTTCATCAACAAGCTCGATCTCACATCACTTCCCTAGTCATGCTTCTTGTGTCCAGAGTCCGTTTGGACTACAGGGTGAGTAAAAAAAAAATTTAAAACCCAAATGTCGGGACCATTGTTTTAGTGAAGTTCTGCATGTAGCATTTTCAAAAGTTAGGATATAAAAGCCCAATTCATAAGCTTTCTTTTAGTACAAGAATCATTCAAATCACTCATGTACTTTTCAAGTTACGGAGTTTTAAACACAACCGCAGTTTTAAGGTTCTGTCCACGGATCACCAAAAAATTCAGTGTTCTTTCAGCAAAACGAAAATGAATCACATAAAGATGTGTGTGAATTGTTTTCGTTTTGCTGGAAGAACGCACACCTTTTTTTGTGATCCGTGGACAGAACTTTAAAACGGTGGTTGTGTTTAAAACTCCGTAACTTGAAAAGTACTTAAGTGATTTGAATGATTTTTTTACTAATAGAAAGCTTATGAAATGGGCTTTTATATCCTAGATTTTGAAAATGCTAAATGGAGAACTTCACTGAAACAATGGTCCCGACATTTGGGTTTCGTTTTTTACTCACCCTGTATAGGTGCTTCCTGTCTGTTCTCGGCATTATCTACTAAAAAGAATAGCGTGGGCTTTATTTACCTGATGTGCACTGGGCCCTCTTTTTGTAGACCAGTGACGCGGCTGTACCGTCCCGTCCGTGGAGCGCATCAGCGGGCGAGGGGACAGCACCCTCGGGGCCAGTTGGCGATTTTCCCCCGGTGCGGCCGCACATCCTCTGCTCGATGTTCATCTTGCTCAACTCAAGGGAGTTCCCCTCAGCGAACTGAACCATGTCGGTCATACCCTTGCACTGTGCATGGCAAAGCGATAGTGGACAATTATATAGATTGTGTCTTCTTCTTTTTTTCCAAATTGAATTTCCTATTTTGTTCCCCCATTAGTAGGATAAATTAATGGAGGATGGAGGACCCCCCCCCCCCCCCCCCATTCAAGGCCTGTGTCCTCTATGTCCCACCCCCGCTCAGAATCCAGGGGGAAGCAAAAGTTAGTTTTCATGGTTGAGTACTCATTGAGTGCCCCTTCCAGAAAATGACGTTCCGTTAACCAATATTGTCACCGGTAAATTTGATAATTGTACTATGCCTACATAATAATTTTATTCAATTTAGTAAAATTCATATTTGTTACTTATGGCATGTTTGCAATGGAAACAAACAAACAAACAAACAACCCAACACCCCAATGAACAAACCTTAAGTCTGGCCTCGTTGGTCTCTCTCCCTACGGCCATGTGCAGCACGTTGATGTAGCCAGGGTAGATGGTTGCGAAGGAGCAGTTCTTCTGCTTATTGAAGTTGCTTAGTGTGAAAGCCCCCGAGGAATCCGGGCTGAAGATGTTGCAAGCTGGAAACGGAGCGAATTTAAAAAAAATTCGGTAAATTAAAACAGTGAACTCAAATTGGGCAGAATAAACTGCTAAGCGGATTGTATATGTGTTCAGCAAAAACAAAAGTCAGCTTGTTGCTAGCCATAAGCAAAGCATTTCCAAGGACCCTTTGGCACGTAGTCCTTTTTTAAGCAAATATCTACTGTGCTTAGTATTTTTTTATGGCTAGCAGCTCGGGTAAAACTGTCCAAAGATTACAATTCTCCAAAAGCAAAATAGGACAAATGGCCGGCCGGGCTTATTTCGGCCCAAATTCTATCTCCAAAGATGAAAGCAGTACAGTTGTGCATTCTCCACCCATTCGTACAATAACACAATACCTTGTAACTAAAATACAATTTCTTTCAAAACTCTCTTATTGGCAAAGTATGTGAGAGCAAAATAATGCTCAGCTTCGCCAAAAGCTAACGGTGTATTTGAGGCTATTAACTTTCAAGTAATCATCGATTTTCCATGAACATCTTGAACAAAACAGGGTGGGGAATTGAGACCCCCAAAAAAGTCACACGGTTGTGCTAAATAATTATGAAAGTCTGGGGTTTCACAATGATAATGTGCATCTTGCGTCCAATGTACAGGCTTTCAAAAACGATTCCACCCACTCCAACGTAACGACCTGGTTATTTTTCATCAAAGTCAAAACCCTTGTCGTTACTTGAGACCGTACTAATATGAAGACTCTTCCCACACAGCGATTTAATATAGATGGCTGATCGCCAGTCACGACTAACAAGCCACAATACAAAGAAGTCTCGAAGGATGAGAAATCTAAAATTGTGGCATTCTACTCACAGTGCATACATCACTGTTTGCACTTGACGTTGAGTGCTCAACCAATATTATTCCATCCCATCAAATCAACGTAATTTAATTTATTTATTTATTTACTTTAGTAGTTTTCTATCCTCACTAAAAACAAGCCCGCATGTTGCTTTGCCATACTCTCTTTATTTCCAAAAATCACCGGTGTTGCAGTATAATGACAGCGTTCAAAGACGCGAAGTAAGTGTTTTATACTGCTGCTTCATTATTCCACTCTGGAGAACCCTATGCCAAACCTAGACAGAAAGTCAACCACAATCAACTACGAACCATTATACAACGGCTTCAATTCCACGACTTGTTTTAATGCACGATATGGCTCTGACATTTAAATGTCGCCCGGGCGTTCATACTTCAAAGCCTATTAGGTTTCTAATACATCCATTATCTCACGAAATTAAGACGATTATTACTATAATAGCCCCAATCTATAAGCACACCAGGGAGATATAAATAATTGAAAGATACGTCATGCATAAAAACCCTTTATAGTTACATCTTAGGCGGATGAGGGAGATGGGTTTCACGTACCCTTTACAGTGGAACAGAGTCTGCTATTTTAGGCGGCAGCAATATGCGCGATGTGCGATGGTATTTGGTTAATCCCATACCAAAAATAATGCATATTTTTTATATAAAGATACACTCTTTAAAAGTCATCAAATGTAAAGAAAACAGGCGATTCTACACCTACAGACTTCATGTACATGTACCCGCAGTCATCTGAGTGCAAGTTTGTTTTCCACTGGCAAATCTAGCTGCGGTATTTAAAAAGCAAGTGTAGGTGGGAATTTGATATGATTCGTAATAAGCGACCGATCTGTTTGTGACGAGAGTTTCTCTGTAACCTTTTTGTATCTGTGTGATGTTTTACACTGGCTGAAGTCTGGTTAGAAGTATTATTACTGTTCTCCCCTGAGATCACAGCTTTGATATTGAGATGACATTTAGAACGTGCAAGTTGGATGACATGAAGACAAAAAAACACGAAATGTTGCGAGAATATAATTACGAGACTACTAGGTACATCCAACAGGAACCCACAACGGACGCGGCATCCTTCTTTTTTTATAATAAACATTTTGTCTCTTGACTAGACTTAGCATTCAAACCGTAATGAATAGATTCTACGGGGGGGAATGAAATATTAGAGTTTACAACTTTAAGTATTGGCGATGTTGAAAAAAAAATGGCGGTAAAATGGACATCAACTTCCGACATATAATTATTAACATTATAGGTAAAGATACGGAGTCCGTGGTCGGACAAGACCTTTGCACATGCAGTTAAGTCAAAAGTGAAGGCTGCCATTGTCTTTGATTTGCAAACGTCATCTGGTTTTTTTTTTGCTTTGTTTCAATATGGGGATTCCACGCATGAAGCTAATTGAAAGCAAAATATGAAAAAGAAATAATTGCCAGGAAAACTCTAGGTCGAGTTGATAAAAAAGAGCAATTCACCAGGGTTCGACCTTAACTTTATAGTTCACCAGCCAGCCGGGCTACTGAAACAGACTCTTAACCAGCCCGCGGGCATGTTCACTAGCCTGCATTATTTTCTTTCATATTGTCTCATGTAAAACGTGGGGCCTGAAAAATGACCCCTGGTGGCCAGGCCCGGATTACCCAATAGGCACAGTAGGCACTGTGCCTAGGGCCTGCGAAAAATTTGGGGGCCTACGAAAACTTGGGGGAGGGCCTACGAAAATTCCGCAGTGTACCATAACTGACGCTGTACAGCATGTATGCATTGGCCCTGCGTATAAAATGTACGTGCAAAGTCTGTCGTTCTGAAGCACGATGCCAACCATGGGCGTCGATCGGTGGGGAACGAGGGGACTGATGTCGTTCTCCAACGTTTTTCGTCCCTGAATAAAAATACGTAGCCTACATTTGATTTTATAGCTCAGAACAGCTGGTTTAATGACTCCAAACTCGAAAAAGATGTTTAAATGATGATCTTGTGATAAAACTTTGGCAGTCGTAAAAATTGCCTCAGATCGCACCACAGGACGCCTAGAATCCATTTTTTTAGGGGCCCTTAAGTGGGCCCCGAACCCCGCGCCGTTTAGGCTTCGCACTCGCACAATTATTAGTACTGATCAAGATACACATGTATGTACCACCCCTACTTTGAGAAGCGAATGACGCCCTCGAGAATTGGTGCCAACAGGCTGTTAGAGCTAGGACCTACACCAGTTTGGCCTGGCTTGATTTGTACCGCCCCCCCCCCCCCCCCCCCCGACAAAAGTGTGTTCTGGATCCGTCCTTGTAGCCCCACTCCCAATAGGCCTAATCTACAGCGACAAATTTGTATTATGTGTTTTTTTAGACAGGGACATTTTCCGGTATTAAATTACATGATTTTCGCAGTGTATCCAACTTCAGGCGTTGATTACTCATAAAATGGTTTTGGGGACATTCCTCATTTTGCCACATTAGGTCACAAATGTGCCCCCTCGAGATGAAAATAAAACAGCCCTCAAACGCACATGAAAGCATTATGATCGCGTTTAAAAATGATCTCCTCTCTTATAATGCAAAAGTGTCCCTCAAAAACACAAATACCCCTCGCACATTAACAAGATTGTGAACCTTCTCGAGATGGAAAACTATCCCTCGAAAACACGAATGACCCCTATCGCAATACAACAATTTGTGCCCCTCTCAAAATGGAAAACTGGCCTCGTTGGCTCTGTGCGCCGTCATCAGGGGCGTATAATATTCCCGGGATGGGAGTGGGGTGGGGTATATATACCCCCACACTTTTTGACCGCGGGGATGGGCTATTGAATCATCCCCCACTTTTTGGTGATAAGAAAAAAAAGAGGATTTTGAGGAACTTTCCGAACATCCCAACAATTAAAATGTATTCAATAGCACTGGAAAGTGGAGAAACAAAGTACAAAAGCTTTTTAAAATTTAAGCGCGGGTATACATAATTGATAAAGAGCGTCCCAGTATAATGCGGTGTCCAGCCCCCCCCCCCCCTTTCGAATGTCCACGGCTGGGCAATTTGGGCGTTTCATGTGCCCCCAAGAGTTTGCCACGGAGAGTTCATTTTTCCTAGTGCATTGTGGAAAATGGTCGACAAATTCGCAGCGCGGAACATTTGAAATTGTTAGATTTTTTTTCCGGTCAGTAGTTTCGTAAGCGTATGATTCGAGTATAAATTTGCCTTTTTCTTTTCTTTGTATCAATATGGTGTTTTAGTAAGGCGGCAGAACGCTATACCCGAATTTATAACCACTTAGCTAAAGTTGTTTAAATGACACTCATTCAAATGGGCCTTGTTTTGTCGACCGTAATTTGAAAAACTGACTCTCCATTACAAACTCTTGGAGCGCACTGCATTGTGAATCCCCGAATTTTATGATTTTGGTCATCCCCCCCCCCCCCCACTCGCCAACACACAGATTTACGCCACTGGCCGTCATTGCACTCGCGTGGTCACGATTCTAATCATGCCACAGGCTGACGTTAATGTGACATTGTATTATAATGGCATCATTCCCTAGACTTAGCGTAAGTACAAGAAAAGATGAAGTTTCCCAAGCTATAGCTAAGGGAGCTGAATTAGAATTAGACAAACAAAATTCCCTCTTAAAAATGTGTAAACGGGTCAGTAGTTTGATATAAATATAATGAGGTGGGGGAAACTTGCTAGAATTTCTCTCAATCATAGCGACATGTCAGTGTCGGCCGAAAGACGCGCGACGCGAAACAATAATTGATGAGACAGAATAAGGACGAGCTTGGTAAGGTTAATTGCTCGTAGTGACTCTGAATAGTCAACTGCTCGGTACTTAAGAATGATTGTAGAAAAGAGTTACGTAACAGCATTCATTGTATATAGCACGATGCTGATGCATCTTTCGTGCAGCTATGAAACACAAAGTAACTCTCCCACTGCGGAAATAAGGATTAAGTTTAAACGCAAAGAGAAAAGCACCTACTGAAACAGCCTAGTTGTTAAGCTGTCTGACAGTGGACCCAGGGTTAGGGGTTCGAATCCGCTTGGTGTCATTTTTTTTGGTTTTCGATGCCCGCGGTTCTGTCATTTAAGAGTATTAATTTCCCGTTGTCATTTACCAACAGCAGTTAGCTCGGTCGGTCGGTAAGCTGACTCACAAGTTGGGACTGTCTGCGAAGTCCAGGTTGGCATCTGCGTATAGGTACGGGGTTCTTTTGCTGACTCGGCAGCAAGGCTTAGGGTGCCACCTCGTTTCCTCCCTTTATGGTGCCTGACTTTCGAGTTACATGGATGGACAGGGAAGGAGGTGTGGTGGGCCGGGTACCGAGTCCCAGAAGAGTTCTATATGGAAGTCGGTAAGGGGCTCATTGAGTTAGGGTCATAAGTCCGACTCCTGAAGACTTGGCCATCGCCACATAACTTTTTGTTTTATTTTCTTTCTTTTCTATTGGAGGACAATTGCAAGAATGATTAATTTGTTATATTGAGAGCTTGTACTGTAATCGTTCGAAATTAATTTTTAAAATTGCTCGAAAATACAAAATTCAATCCAGCTATGATGTTTTTATTTCATTGTCGCAAAACTGCATGTACATGCTCAGTACTTTGCGCATACATTGTTCAGGCCTGTTCCCTGATCCCAGACTGCAGGGGGGGTCTTTAAATCCTATAGTGGAATTTTTTATATTTTTATATTTTTTATATGCACATCCGTAGCTGTCAACGCCCGTATATGAAGCGACTTCGCGAGGCAGCTTGTGCCGACAAGACAGAATGCACAATCTTTTGACATGGGTTTCAGAACCGGATTTTAGCCTCGCGGAGTTTTGAGCAGCGGCATTTATTATTTACATTCTCCACTTTGTTCTTATTCCCTCTTCCTTTCTCATTCCTTCTCTATTCTTCGGAACACTGGTGCCTAGGCCCTACGAAACACTTTACCGGGCCTGCTGGTGGCGCTTCAGGGCCCCTCGAAAAGAATAATTAATGTGTACAAGTCAGAGTTTTTAAAATTAGTTTGGTATATTGATTTCTTTAAAAAAAATCACCCGCGGAATTTTATGGAAACTGAAAAATCGCATGATGAGAAAGAGAAACATTCTGCAAAAAATGGACCTGTCACTTCCGAAAACTTCCGTGTGGACTCGTGGAACTTGATCACTCGTTTAAGCATGAATATTCATGGAATAATTTTGTGGCAGACAATTTTGTTTTGAACAAACCTGAAGGATTTATTTTTATTTACAAACAAATCTCAAATGACCGTTGATAAGAACTGTATTAAAATGTGATCCAAACGAAATCTAGAATCCATCAGATGCAGGTAGGTATTAAAATCTTCGCGTTGTATCATTTTCGTTCTCACGCAAGTACGCGATGTGAAAACAGACGTGATCGAACAAAGAGACCTAGGTACGAAAATAGGTCGTAGGTAAAATTCGCTTTTACCCATTTCCAACTGATTTCTCATCTATTCTGAGGCAATTTTTGTCAGTGTTTTTAATAAACAGATCTTATAACTTAACCCGTTAAAACAGTTGATAAAATTATACACAAATTGATAGGTGTGATTTCTGAATTTCATGATTTATTTCTTCCTGTCCTTTCATCTTTGCCGTATCCCAATAATTTTGGACTCGCCAGCCAGGCTTCTTAAGGAATAGTTTGACTAGCCCGCCGCTGTTTTGACTAGCATTTGGCTAGCGGGCTACCGCTAATTTCGAACCCTGAATTCACATATTGCAAATGTGGGAATTGAACCAGGGACGCCAAAGCTAAAGGCTGAGAAAAGAACCACTGCACAAAACTGATTGTGATTGTGAGGTCAATATTGCTGGCCACACCATAGATCAAACCAGAGGTTGTTAAAAGATTTAGACCAAGATTCTTAAAACTGCTAAGCATAGAGATTTGTTAAGCAAAAAAAAATTGCAAAAGCTAGGTTACCAACCAAAACTGCCACAGAGTGTACATTGCCCCTAACAGGTTCTCGGCTGATTCATGCTTAGCACTTAAATCTGCTAAGCCCAAATTACTGCTAAAAACCAGCTCCACGAATAAAGGTTCTGCAACAAATAAATCTATGTGTTTTTTTTTGTTTTGTTTTGTTTTGTTTTGTTTTGTATTTGTGGAGGTGTTTCATTCTTTCTTTTTGCTGGACCCAGAGGGGCCAATCCTGTCCTCTTTGCACCTCAATGACTGACGTGCTGTCACTTGTGAACCGGGCAGTGCAATCGTATAGGGTAACTCCGTAACGCCAATGAGTGAACTAAATCCGGCCCAATGTGTTCACAGATGCATGAAAAGACTGCATTCATGTGAATAGCCTTCTGCTTCTGAATCAATTGAATTTTTTTATATTTTATTTATTTTATTTTATTTATTCGATAACCAACAGCGGAGACCCCCCCCCCCCCCCATTTACAGGTATCATGAAAATATAGATGTACATATATATATATATAATTAAAATTACAATTAAAATTAAACAAATATACATGGCACATTCTTAATCAACGGGAAAATTAACCATTTCTGAAAAAGAAAAATTACAACAAACAAACAAACAAACACCCCAGCAAACAGACAACCTTCAAAACAAATATATTTAAAAAAAAAAAATTACGTTAATAAGATTAAAAATAAATTAAAAATAAATAAAAACTAAATTAAATATTACTGAAAAAACGAACAAACGAGCAAACAAACAAACAAACAACCCAACACCCCAACAATCTAGCCGACAACAGACAGACAGACAGCCCGACCAACAACAGACACACACCCTAACAAACTTACACATTATATAACAGAATTTTGCGGGCTCTGGGACCATAGGCTAGCTAATTGAGTTGTTTTTAACATTACTTACGGGCTTGGATGGTCTTGTGTTTGAATATCAACCGGAATGCCCCGCCATTGGCTGGTGACTGGTACGTTAGCATGGCAACGTTCTGAGAGGACAAGAGCACACGGCTGCCGGTGTTGCACACCATATTGACCCTCTCTTGAACCGGCAAGTCGTGGCCAGCTTCGGTCGGGAACACACCAAGCTGCAGGGCGACTCCATCGAAAAACTGTAGACATAAACATTACAGAACACCATATAATAATGTTGTCAAAACACTCACTGCAAAGAATATGTCCCCATTTTATATTGTACAATTCACATAAGTAGTTTTCTATATTTTACTTGACAAATATTTCCTGAATTTTTATTTATTAATATGAGGATAATAACCAATTTCAATACAGAACACATTCAATTTAAAAAGGGAATTTCGTCAGTCGTGTTTACTATTTAACGCCAAAGAAACCTAAGTAACTTTGGAATTTTTACTTTCGTATGTTCAATCCTGGTCTAACGGTATAAAGTGGAACGGTTTGAAGGGTTCGGTCAAAACCAAAATTTAAATTTTGAAGAAAAAAATGATGTACGTTTTTCAAGTTGTTGGCACATTCTCCATTGAAATATGAAGCAACTCATGCTCCAGCCTTGAAGTTTGACCAGCAATATAAAAATACCAAAGTTCTGTTTTTTCTCATTTTTTAAGACCAACCTCAACGAATGAATCTTCTGCGCATGGGTAGTCCAGCTCCGTGATTTCTAATTCGACCACAGCGCTTGGCCCAGTCAGGAATAGCCACGTGCACACCATCGCCTCAGATGATTGGACGAAATACTCGCCTGGTTGGCTGATGACGTCATAAGGGCACTCTGCAAAACAACAACACGAAAATGATGTTCATTAATTGGCCATACAGAAACATCGCCAAGAAGTAAAAAAATCTCGACATTGCATTCCGAATGACAATTTTGTAATACGAAAATATAAGTGCCGTTTCTTAATTTAATGAATTATTGTTTCGTGAAAAAAAACAAGTGCGAGTGCACAATAAGCTCTTGCCGTGTTACAAGAAGTCTTGCATGACAGTTTTGCATGACATGATCAAAATGATCCCTGCCAGAGCTTAAAAAATGCGACGCCAAAAAAATGCGACGCCGGTGGCACATATGGAACACCATACTTTTAGTACATTTTCGGGACCGACAGACAGACCATTCGACCGACCGACTGAACACCAAGTGACATGTAGTAGTTCCTGCAAGAGCTAAAAAATATTGCAAAGGTAAAATATAAGTGTGGCGTTATAGGTAAAAGGAGGTTTCTTGCCAACACGTACTATTTATTTCTTTAGGAAAGTGCATTTTTGTTAAAGGAAATTGCCACTCCGCGCATGCGCAATAAACGTGCGTTATGATTGAAGGATATAGGGCGTATCAATATTTCATAAAAAACACACCCGATTTCTCAATTAACATTTAGATAGAAAACGAAGCAGAGCAATAACTGAAGGGAAAAAAACGCGCTCCCGCGTGCGTGAAATTAAGCGTAAAATCAAATCACAAAATACATGGAGGCTAATGAGGCATTCGTTATTACATCGCGCGGAAAAACGTGTTGGGAATATCGTATGCTTGTATGCTTCCCGTGTAATGTTGGTACAGGTGTCTTACACGAGACGGGCCATTAGATAACTGTGAAAGTGGTTTGGATCACTGCATTAGTCGTGTCCTTTTTCTCCGAGTCTGAAAATGCTGAAATATAACGTAATGCAGCAGGAGTTAAGCCTGAGAAACTATAGACAAGTGCGGTCATAGTACTTGGGTTTTGGATTATGGGGAAGAATCTCATGATAAACCGCAAAGGCCAAAAAAAAAAAAGTCTCCGGTTTCTGGTATGCGCGCGCGTCGCCGTAGCCATGCGCGTCGGCAAAAATGAAAAAGTTTTTTTTCAATGAAAGATGATGTCTCAAAACCGCCAAACTCACTGGTTTGACTGGAATCCTGCTGCTGCACAATTTTAACGTGTTTTTGAATGGGGTTATGATCGAGAATAAGCTTTATGTGGCCTCTCTGGACTCCCATATATTTGCACTAAGTTTAGTCGGGCACCATTTGCAGTCATCAGCCGACATTTGAGGCAAAAAAATCATTTGGGGGGCCAAATGCTATCGTTTTTGTTTACAAGTCCTCGGAAACTGGCATAATTTCACTTTATAGCCCTGCTTACAAGAGAATTCCCCGCTTATGGTCACCATTCTCTGCTAACAATAATATTAAACATGTACATGTACATGTGTGCGTTGTCCATAACCATGAAGGCCTATAAGCACAGACTATTAAGTTACGGGATGCAGGCATGCGAACAAGCTAAACACGCTAACCCGTGATATATACGGTGGCCGTAAGCGCGGAACTTTCTGCTACAGTTGGCCAGGATTGTTTTGTTTACGCATAACTCATAGAAGTTTCTATGCAAGGTACTGGTAACGGAGTTTTGTTATTTGCTTTTAGTATTTTAGCAGGAAAAAAACATATGCTGGGGTTTTATAGGGGCCATTCCACGCTTTCAATCGTATGGTTTCATCGTCCTATGACCGTTTGGTATAGACCTTATAGCACCCATCTTAGAGGGCAATGCCTTGGCTTTGCTGGGATATGCATGAGAGAACCGTTTGTGTATACATTGTTACTGAATTAAAATAACAAAAGATGCCCTCTAAAATGGCCACTTTGCATAAGTCTATAATATCGCTATTTAACGCACTTAAGCTTCAGGGAACCAGACCACATCTGTTTCGTCAACTGTCAAAAGTATTAACTATTTAACAAAATTTTAACAAAAGTTACATATTTTGATCCGAGTGCAAAAACATCTAAGGTTCAGCCAGTCGAAAACATTTTCGCCCAAAATGCAAAGGTGAACGTGCACAACACAGTATTTGGTATACTGAATACGTGCGTGAAGAAAGGAAATGTTCTCACTTTTCACGTATCATTTCAGTAATTGTTTCCAAAGTTCAACCCGTCGATTTGAAGTCCATTATTTCTATGAGACTTCAGTAAATAAATGACAATTTTTTCTGCCCTTGTTTTTTTTTTTTAACCACGCCGACGTGACACCAAAAAATGTGGCCGTGCTGCGGGACCCATTTATTGCCATCATTTACCGGCAAACTGGGTCGCAATTAGCAGGAGGATTGTCTCGATTTCTGACTGTTTTGTCACGATCGGGCCGTGTTCTCGTTAACCATTAGGTACCATATCAGAAATTCGCTGCGCGGTAGTTACGAAAACTGGTCACGGTTGCTAGCCGTCAGAAAGCGCAGGTCCCCGGTCAAACGGACACCAGCATGACCGGACGAGGTTTATCACAATTCTCTCTGTTTTGTTCCCAACATGCGAGCAGTGGTGATCACCCCTTGTGTCTTACACAGAACAAAGTTTAGAAGGACAAATCTCTGGCTCAGTTGAAAGCTCTCGCACATTAAAGACCGGGAAGACAGGATATCTAATTTCTTTACATAAACAACTCCGAGCCTGCCCTTTTTTTTCCTCTACAGAAATGACGCACTTTCCTCCATGCTATTTCACAAATATAATACTGACTCATACGCAAATATACTGACGTCGGAGTTGGAAATAGTGAAACATCTTGCACCCCCAAATTAACACAAAGTACATTTGACAGAGGGCAATTTCACCTTATACAAACCAATTTAGATGAGTGATACAAACATACATTTTCTGAGAGGTTTGCGTTCCCAACGAGAATAACATGACAATGTTACTTTTTGTTGCATCTTGAGTTCCTTGATGGGGTGAGAGGAGCTACATCATTATCCCAAATGAAAAAAAAAAAATATTGAATGAATTATTCGTCCCAACGAACGGCGCGGCCGCTCGGCAAACTTAGAAGTTCCATTCCGCGGTAAATGAGAGTTCCATTGCACGGTCACACCTTTTGGCGGCTCTGACCAATCAGATGACAAGGATTTTATTCAGGTGTTGTATAAAACAAATAAAGAATGTTTCACATTCGTGCAATGGAAAGAATAATTTCATTAGGTGACAGATGGAATGTTTCATTTCTCTCGGCTTCACGTCATGAATGCAGCATTTCCATCTGTCACCTCGTGAAATTATTCTTACCATTGCACTCACAAACATCCATTATTTGTATAATGTTCGATTAATAGCTCATCGCTTGACTGCTGGAGACTGTCATGGCTTGTGGTTGATTTGATCCGATTAAAAATCAGATTTTAACTTTGTTTTGACAACATATTTTCTCTCTTTAACACCTTAACAGATTCTCGGAACATTAATTGTAATAATAATTTAATAATAATTTGGGAGGCTATTCATCCTTACTCGCAGCTGGTATGCTGAATTGCGAAGGACGCGGCTACAACGTGGTCGGGCCGCTGGCACGTAAAGGCGCCTATTGCTGCCGGCCACACCTACCCATTATGACCACGGAGCACAGCCTGAGATCGAAAGTGTTCGATTTTTCCCGGAGGGAGGAAAACCGGAGAGCCCGGAGAAAAACCCTCGTGGCACAGGAGAGAACCAACGCACAACTCTACTGACATGTGATTTGCGGCCAGGATTCGAACCGTGGTCACCTTGGTGAGAGGCGAGCGCTTTACGCACAAGCCATCAATGCCACCCTAAATTGTACCAATAATATTACTGTAACAAAAGTACCTACCCATTTCTGTGGCACTTGATGAACTGGTAGTCTTAACAGGAGCTTCTCCTCGACGAAAAACTCTCATTGCCGACTGGTCGAATCCAAAATACCGCTCCTACAAAGTAAAAACAAAAAAACAAAATCCATAAATCATCCATTAATTAAGAACTTTGGCATTTCAATAACAAAATATTTTCGTTTAAACAGTGGCAATACAACAACCGGTAGTGCCCCTAATTTCATAATACATCACCAGATACGTCATGCAATACTTGAATTTATGGCGAGATTGCGCATCACAGCATGTTAAAGTGTAATACCCTACGAAATTCGGCCTAAGGGTGCAACCCTGTATTAAAATTTCCATAGACACCAGTGCTAAATGCCCATACTCCAACATTCTTTTTAAAATACTCAGATTTTTTTTGGTGGTTTGACCATTGACTTTTCGAGATATTCTCACCCAAAGAAGACGACCCCTATTTCCCCCAAAGCGGAAGAGTAGCCATCTTGAAAAACGATCCCTCCACAACATGGCAAAGCAGCGCCACTTTCGAGCCCAATTGCATCCAAACTGCTCAGAATTGGAAGCCTCAAGTCCGGGTAAGAGGTTCATTGCCATATCATGCTCTTCCCATCGCCAATTTTATGGCTCTCAGAACTCTCTGATACAGAATATTTTGACGGTATAACGGTGAATATAGTTGGAGTACAAAAATACTACTTCTTGCTTTATGGCAGACGAAAACATTTCACAGTTTTTGTTTTTGTCCTGTCTTCGACTGAAGTTTTGTTTAGTTAGTTGGTTTGTCAATTATTTGCACAAGTGATATTTTAGATGAGTTTGTGATTGACAGTTTTACCGAGCTCTATAACAGATCACACGGGACTCGGTGAACGTGGTAACTAGGGGCGGTTTACTCTTACCCGTCAAGTTGTTATTAATTTGTACGATAGAAAGCTTTGTGTAAGAATAACCGGACCGCTTGAACAAACTGCCCTGCCATGCGGGGGTCATTCTCTCACCAATCATGTTCTCCCGTATACGAAGCCTCTGCCCTTTGTCGTCTGAAAAACGTATCCTTCCGCGGCCCCAAGGGAAACGTCATTATTCTCAAGACACGCGCTGGTGTATCAGCCCTAAACCCTATCCACGGGATGTCTCTCTTAGGGGAGAATCTTTTCTTTTCTCTACTGACAATGTTTTCTTATTCTTTTCCCCGCCAGTTATTCGTGACTCGGAAGGAGAGGAGTTGCAGGTAGGCGGGGCCACGTGTCGAGAAAATCCCAACGACAAGCCAAACTTTGCAATGGGCAAACTGACTGTTCAATTACAGGCCGCAATTATACGAAGAATGATAACAGTCGAGTGTAACTTAAGACTATATAATTCCACAGCTATTTTTTTTCGTGAGTTGCCGACGGTCAAAAGCAGGGTTTTTTTTGCAGAGCTGAAAGGCTCTTGGTTAAAAAGGTCTTTGCCCGATCTGTCACGTATAGATAATTCTATATGTTTTACTTTAATGGCGAACATCAAACATTAATATGCCTACTGGGAAACATTCAATATGCTGTTAAAAGTGAAGGCCGGTTTAAAGGGCCCATGCAATGCAGTCTTTGATAATGCACCTTTGTGTCCCATTTAACCTGATTTTCAATTTTTGTTCTGCCATTTTCAAGGGTATATTTGGTGCCTTTTTTGTTTTTATTCTAATGCGAATTTTCATATCCATGAGCAAAACTGTGATGTCATTCTCGGCAAAAACCTCAATGGTACAGCTATTTTAGCACAGAAAGTTGCTAGAATTTGGTTATTTTGCGGTCGTAGATTTTCTTTTGTTTGGTTATTCGTTGTTGTGTCAGTACATGGCAGTAAGTCAATGAGCAAACCTTTCTCATAAATGTTTTCAATGAGCAACTTTTGGCTTCATAATTTGAACAGAAAAACCCTAAACTGAACAGTGTCTTCCTGAAATGACATCACACCAACATCGCCCTCAGTTCAGTTTAGTTCAGTTCAGTTCAGTCTTTAACAATGTAATTTTCCGCTAATTACCAAGTTGTTTGGGATTTATCCCAGCAGTTGTCATGACTTTATATAAATCCACTTAAACAACTTTGTATCAGGATGACACGTTAGCGGCAAAAGGCGATAGTGTTCCTTTTTATCAAAGATATACCGACTTCAGCAAAATTCAAAAATCAATTAATTTAGAATTTTCAATTTCAGTTATAATTTTCTTAACATTTTATTCCATCAAAAGAAAAAGTTATACACAATAACTCAAATAAGTCATCGTCATCCTAGTTTGCTGTGCGGAAGTTGATCACATTGGTAAATCTAGATCACAACCTTGACGACTGGAGATTTTAACAACCGACCACCCCCCCCCCTTTCAAAAAAGGTGGGGATGTTTGTCAATCCGATGTTTGTTCACAATTTCCTTGGCAAAAAAGTTTAGGGAGACACTGATGCGACCCCATATATAGCTGGTATCTCACACTGAACACCGATTGCCCTTACGATGCGTAGGTAACCGTTTTCATTACAGTAGCGCATCTAGAGGAGTTGGGAGTGCAACCAACCCCTCCCCCACCCCCACCCCACCCTCCCCACCCCCGCCCCTCCCCGTTCAGCTGCTGACTAACGATAGTTATGATACTTGTAAAATGGGGCCGAAAATAATAACTGGAATGCTAAAGTTCTTAAATTTATTCTGATATTGCCTTAGAATGCACGAGAAATCATCATAGATTTCAAAATTTCCCCGGAGCATACCCCCACAGACCCTCTAGCAAGGGCGTGACTTCGACACGCCTTCACTCACCCCCCCCCCTATCATATCAACTCTCCTACCCCCCCCCCCCCTCATAACTGAAACCTGATCCGCCCCTGCATTAAGCCGTTAAGCAGAAATATTCCTTTACCTGCTAAGCACAAATCGGCGGGGAACCAGTCATAGCATCCAATGACATTTCCGCTGGTAACCTTTTTGCAAATAGAATGTTTTGGGCTTAGCAAGTTAGCAGCTCCAGGTAAGTGCAAAACATTAAAAAAAAAACCCATAAAGGTCGCCATGAATTATTCCAATCGAGTTAACTTTTCTCGAGACCAGGGGCCAATTTCAATAAAAATGCTAAACGCTAAATACTTTGCCAATTGCAGGTGCCAAGTGCAGGAAAATACACGCTTAGCAACGGAGGTAACCAACCAAAAACTTGATGGCAAATTACATTACTAGTGGCGGATTCTCAGCTGGTTTCTGATGATCTCGTCAATTTGCAAAGCATAATACTTTCAGCTCAATCATTGGGCAAAGGTTTCCAGACATTTTGCTTTATAGTTCGTTCTCGCTGTTCCAAGGTTGCATCGCCTCGAGACAGTGCAGACAGCCAGATTGATAACGTCAACCTATACTTAAAAGAAAAACAACAACTTGTGGTAATAAAAGGGCCATATCATCTCGGAAGACGACGCATTGCCATGACAACCACACGAGTGTACTTCGCGAAAATCGCCTCCATCTCACGAAAGAGCACCGTCTTCGCGTAATGAAATACTCCCTCAGCACTTATGACTTTTACCTATTCATAGGTAATTAAATACCAACTTGAATTTCGTCGTATTATTGAAAGGTTGTTTTCGGCTTTGGTAAGCGATCAAAAGTGCCCACGCGAAAAGTTGTAGTGGCGAGCAGTGCATGTGTATGGAGAGCCCTCAGTGGCATTATTCTGCACTATAATTATTACTAAGCGTATATTTTCCACTCATAAACGCAGAGTCACATTTCGCATCAATTTATTTAATGAGAAGCACTATCAGGTGTCAAATACGATCCGTATAGAGCCGTTAAAACATTCCTCATTCTGCGCGACCATTTCTGTCGTTTCAAGAAATATCTCGTCCGTTGATAAACTCATGTAACCGCAAACTTGAGTCCAATTATGTTATCCAGAAAAAACACCTGGCGCGCTAGCGAGAACATTTTAAAATGTATACTTTATTTTGCCGCGGGTTGGCCGTGTCTAGATTATGTAGTCACTGATCTTATTAAACTCAGATGCCCTTTGCAAAAAGTTCTTGGCGAGCACATTATGTCATTGAGTCGCTGGCTCGTCCACATACTCAAACCCATACTTCAGGTCGCGTTTCCCAAACTAAGAACGCTTAATTCTTTAGTGGTTGGGTGAAGTTGTAACCAACTTGAGTTTCTGGTACAGATTCCACGAGGACAATTTAGCCGAAATATGAACCAAAAAAGGCAACATCGACTCCGCATAAAAAAAGTGGAATCTATCTGAATCATACCTCGTTTTGAATCACAGTAATCAAATTAACATGTTGGCAAGATATAGGTTGGGCTAGGCCTTGGTAAACATGGCAGTCTCGAAAGAGGGACAGCGCCAGGCGCAGAAGTGGAAATAAAGTCTCCCTTGCCGCTCCGTGCTAAAAGAAAACACGCATCTTTAGTGCTGACGGGAAAAATATACTTTTGGCGCCAAAAGTACACGAAAAAAAGAAGCGGTGCATGGCGTGGAAGGCGGATGTATGACCGCGGTTACCTAATCTATACAAAAAGGGGAATCCAAAAAGTATAGACGGGACTTTTTAGTTTAACTTGACATTGAGCTTCATCGACAGTGTATTCTTGAACAACATTTTTTTGGTAGACATTTTTCCGTTGATAGAAGTAAGATATTAATAGTTAACTTCCAATGGCAGTTTAAAGTAACTGTGACTTAAAAAAAAATTCACCTTAAAAATAGAAATAATCTGTAAAGAGCAGACTTGTTTGTTTCTAAACGTCAAGAATAACCGCAACCTTTTCCGGTAAAAAAAAGTTAAAAATAAAGATTTGCCAAATCCATGAACTTGAATGCCACGGGGGATTATCCCATCTGACACTATACGTCGGTCACTAATCCCCTTAATCCGGACTACAGGCTCGTCGGACGTGTTTGGCTTCAAAGCCCGAATCCGCTTTCGTCGCCAACCGTCAGGATCTCTCGGAAGGCAGGACGACTTACCTTTAATATTTCAAAACAGACATAGTCTCAACGATTTATAACCGAAGTTCTTAAACACTTTGCCTCAGCATCTATTCCGAAG